ATGAATAAAAAAAATTAAAAAAAAACTAAATAAAAAAAAAAACATTGTTTGCCACCTGTTACCTTTTTGTTACTGTTTCCCTCCTTCTGGGTGGCCAAGTCCTTCATCTCTGCGTTCAACACAACCTATGACCCTCTAGAGAGCCAGAGCTGCCCGGAAGCCACTCCACCGACTCCCTGGTGCTGATCTGAGCTCCAGGTCACTTGTCCCTTCCTCTACACACACCATTGTTGATCTGCATCCACTTCCCTAGGGACCAGCTAGGCGGGTCAGAGAGTCCCTGAGGTGCACTAATCACAAAAAGTATATCGTCTTTACTCTTACAATTATCAGATGACCTATTACTGTTCCAAAAGGGACCATCAAACCTTAGTGCTAATTATGGGCTCTGCAGCTGCTGGCCCTCTGATGAGGAAACAGAAAGTGGGGAGAGGCTTCAGGGTTCTGCTTAAAAGATAACCTGTGTAAGGCTGCCTCCTACCTATCCTTGGGTCCATACCTAGTTACATGAGGATTTTCTAAAGAAGCAATGCCTGTATTAACCAAATTTTTGGCAATTGTTTGACGTGGAATTTCATGTGCTTGGTTCTTAGGGTATGACTGGTTTCCCTGGTGCTGCTGGACGGACAGGTCCCCCTGGACCATCTGTAAGTTCATTCCTCGAAGCGTAAGTTTTCATTCCCTCCTATCAACAGACCCAGTCCCTGATAGGAGGCTAGGAAAATAAATAAATAAATAAATAAATATTCCTCCTGAAAACACATCGCTAATATCACTGTTAATTTTCCAGTTCGTTTTTCTGAACCATGAAGGCAAAACCATCACAAATTACATTTTATAAGATCAGTTTAAGAGACTTTCACTTATGCCAATGGCAGTGCCCTTTAAGGGGCGTGATCACTGTGTTAAATTTTTTTAAAAGAATAATTTTAGTCCATATCACATATTGCTATATCTAATTCCTCTCTATGGCTAGCATTCTGCCTCTGTTGTTAAGGTATAATTGTTCCTGAATTTAAAGGTAGTTTGGCCTCTAATTCAATTCTGATTCAGACTCTCCCCTCGAGACTCTAGAGAATTTAATTAATTACTAAGGATTAAGTCTTCCTGTTGAGGTTTCAGGGGAAAAAATAGAAAAGAAGTTGATTTCTTGGAGTCCTTTTACAGATTTGTAACAGAAAAATCTTCATTCCCCATAAGCATTTAATTAAACCTAGTGGAGGGCATTGTATGCAATTCCTCAATTAGGAACTAAATGCCAGCACGGGGTTCCTTCACAAAGAAATGGGCAGAAAACTCCAGAACCCAGCTCTTACTCACTTCGAACCCATTCCTCAAACTCCACGTAGTTCTGACTCCAGTGTTCCAGAGGTCCCGCAGTGAGGCATCGCCTCTCCACACAGAGATTCACCACAGACAGTCTCTGTCTCTGTTACCACCTCAGGAGAATTAAAACAGGAGGTGCTTCTTTCCATGACGATGTTAAAATGTCCTAACCCTTTCCCAAAGCAGGCAAGGGTATTGCTTTGCTGTTTCATGGGACGCATCTTTATCTAGAAAACCTCTGCTGCTGTCTTCCAGGTCTGTGATAATTAACAGCTGTAAATGACATTGTACATTTTTTTCTCAGGGTATCACTGGCCCCCCTGGTCCCCCTGGTCCTGCTGGTAAAGAAGGCATCCGAGGCCCTCGCGGTGACCAAGGTCCAGTGGGCCGAGCTGGTGACACAGGTGCAGGTGGCCCCCCTGGCTTTGTTGGAGAGAAGGGTCCCTCTGGAGAGCCTGGTACTGCTGTAAGTGATTCCAAACTCCTTTGTTTTAATACATTGTGCGGAGTTAAAAATAAAGCCCCTACACAAACCCCCAAATGGCATGTATTTGTTGATGAGTACTGTGGGCTTTCAAGTGGAGCTCAGGTGAGCGGAAAATCCAACACACATGGAGGTGCCGTGGGTTTAGCACATGCTCAAAAAGTACATCATAGAAATCACAGTCAGTGAAGGAGCTCTCTGTTCACCACAGCAGACCTTTTGAGAGCTCCCATGGTCCCAGGATTAGAACAGAATCCAACTTCTGTGGCCCACCCTACTGTAAATGAATCAGTCTCCATAAACTATGGATTGCTTTACGCACCCATTGTCCAGTAGGAGTGCTGCCCTCCAAAGTGTCTTTCGCAGATCTTCAAGGCCAAGGTTAAAATGTGCTTCCTCGCACAGAGACTATAAAAACTACCTCTCTCCCAAATGGCTCATAATTCCTAGCTATATATTTTTAAGTGGTGTACCATTGGTCAGGTGAAAAAAAAGAATACATGCCACAATGTAAATGCCTTGCTGTCACCAAAGAAAAGATATCTGAAGGTCCATCTCATTAAAAGGAGATGTCCAACCATAGAAACCTTATGAAGACAGCTCACTCTCACAGTTCTCAATCTAACTGGTATCATCTGCTAGGATCTTCTCAGTGATATTCAGCATTTTTTCTCCTGTTTAGGGACCCCCTGGTACCCCTGGTCCCCAGGGTCTCCTCGGTGCTCCTGGTATCCTGGGTCTCCCTGGCTCTAGAGGTGAACGTGGTCTGCCAGGTATCGCTGGTTCTTCGGTGAGTGTTTGGCATTCTCATTAACATAATAAAGGATTTTAAAAGCTGCCACTTCAGTATGACAGATTGATCACTGAATAACTCCACTTAAGATTCTTATTCATGGCATTTTCTTTATACAGATCACATGTCACTTATCTAAGAAGCTTTAATACCACCTTACTTAGACACACACTATAAAGACACAGCATAACATTATGCAGAACGATTTTTGTTCTTTCTGCAAGCTTGAGAATGATATAAGCTCTAATTGCATTTACTCCTCTGCAATATGAAATTCTGGCATCATTTATCCTGCAGGAAGAATGAAATACTGGAAGTTCTGAATCATTTCATTTAACCTTCTCTGTGACAGCAGCTAGGAACCATCTCATCTCCATAAACTTTATCAACTTTATGAATTCACTTTACCTGGGATGTATTGGATGTAGTCAGGCTTCCCATACACAGAGCACGACATTCCCAACTGCGCAACACTGGCATCCTAGGTCCCTAGGAGGAAGGCAAGAAGGCAGTGAGTGGCACCTCTTACCATTCAGCAGCACACTCACTCCACCACCTTCTATCCTTGTCACATTAGACATTCCTGGCCACAGCTGTCTGAGGAGGGTGAGCTGGTATTCCATCCAGTAAGAGCACTGTTGGTTTATCTCCTTGACCTCTAGGGTGAGCCCGGTCCCCTGGGCCTTGCAGGCCCTCCTGGCGCGCGTGGTCCCCCTGGTAACGTGGGCAGTCCTGGAGTCAACGGTGCTCCCGGAGAAGCTGGTCGTGACGTGAGTCCTACTTGATTTGTAAAATGAAACTAAGCAGGGTTCCATCGTGGTGCTTTCATGTGCTAACGGTGGTCCTGTTGCTTCAAGTTGCTGAAGTAAATGGTGGGTTTTGCCATAATATCTGTGAGTATTGCCCTCTCTGAGTGTAGAAAATAGGAAAAATTACTTGGAATGGGGAATAGATCTAACATAGTTTATATTTGGACCCAACTACTGAAAATACCTCCAAAAATACCTCCCTTGGTAGTTCTTATTTGTCCCATTGAACAAATAAGGGGTTCACTGGGAATGGCAGAGGCAGGGTAGGCAGTATAAGGGCAGGTGGGCACAGAACAAAAGCCTTCACGGACAAGGTGTCTCCACAGGGCAATCCTGGCAGCGATGGTCCCCCAGGTCGTGATGGCCAACCTGGACACAAGGTCGGTACATATTTTCATCCTCTTGCAATTAAAGTGGTTGATATACAAGCCAGACGTGCTAAGCTTCACTTTGCCTTTTGTAGGGAGAGCGTGGTTACCCTGGCAACATCGGGCCCACTGGTACTGCAGGTGCACCTGGTCCTCACGGCCCTGTTGGTCCTTCTGGCAAACATGGAAACCGTGGTGAACCTGTAAGTCTATAAATGTCACTCCCTTCATCTTGTCATCTTTTGGGGCTTTACTTTCAACATTACCCTTGGGAACAGAGGAAGCATCAGGAAGAGGGTCCCAGACTTCACTGATGGGTTCTGTTTTTCTTTTCTGATTTACAGGGTCCTGCTGGATCTGTTGGTCCTGTTGGTGCTGTTGGTCCCAGAGGTCCAAGTGTAAGTACATAGTAAAGTTTCCTGTGTAAATTAATATAGTAAGAATCATTCCAAACCACCAGTTAAAAAGTAGGTAGAGCCGGGTGTAGTGTTGCACACCTGTACTCCCACTACTTGGGAGGCTGAGGCAGGAGGATTGTCATGAGTTCAAGGCCAGCCTGCCTACATAGTGAGACCCTGTCCCAAAAAAAAAAAAAAAAGGAGTAGACAATGTGTAGGCTAGACTTCATGTTTAAAAAAAAATAGTCCATGCTGAGAATTGATAGACATAACTTTGTCTATTTGAAAGCTTTTCCCCTTGTTTGTATTAAATAACCATCAAGAGCTAGTCCTTTTACTAAGAGCTCAGCTAAAACAGATTAGCAGAAATGTGGAGAGTCCATACAGACCCTTAGATATCTCAAGTTACCTTTCTAAGTGAATCAAGCCATATTTGTGAAAAAGCAGGTAAGAGTCCTCTCTGTCCTTCTCTTTCCTTACAGGGCCCACAAGGCATCCGAGGTGACAAGGGAGAGGTTGGCGATAAAGGGGCCAGAGGCCTTCCTGGCATGAAGGGACACAATGGATTGCAAGGTCTCCCAGGTCTTGCTGTAAGTAGAATACTGGGTGCAGAATGGCCTTAGAATCTTCAGCCTAGAAGGAATCTCTGCAGACTTTTCTTGCTATTGTCCTAAAAATATGCAGCCTCATATCTACTTCCCATTCTCTGGCCAACTCCATATTCTCAGGGACAATGCTACTTCATCCCAGCACAAAAAGCCAAGGGTGAAGGGTGAGAGAAACACACATATATTAAAATCTCCTGGCAACAGTGTCCTTCAGCTCTACTTAGAATAAATACAATTAGAAGAATGACTAATATTGCACTGTGGAAATAGCTTTTGAAAAAAAAATAATTGAATATAATAGACATAATGGGAGAAAAGAGCCTCACTTTATTTTCAATTTTCTTAGTCCAGAGTCCATTGAAAGTAAAATTTTCCATTTAATTTGAAAAGCAGAAGTCTGTCCTCTATTGACACGTGATCTGAATGTGTGATTTTTCCTGTTCTCTCTTTCAAGGGTCAACATGGTGATCAAGGTGCTCCTGGCCCTGTGGGTCCTGCTGGTCCCAGGGTAGGTGAATCTATGAGATTCTAATAGACCATTCATCTCTGAAGCTGGGCCTCCCTGGCCGATGAACTTTGCAGAGCTTTGCTCATTCTTTTGTTTCAATGTCCTTCTTCCCTAGGGCCCTGCTGGTCCCTCTGGTCCTGCAGGCAAAGACGGTCGCGCTGGACACCCTGGTGCTGTTGGACCTGCTGGTGTTCGAGGCTCTCAGGGTAGCCAAGGACCTGCTGTGAGTATGATTTGGGGATGTAACGAAGAACTTCAGTGACCAAAGGCACATTTGCTTCAGACTCGCACACAACAATTTTGACAGTACATTAAAGATGACCCACTTCAGTATATTTATGAGCTCTAAGCTGGTTGTGGTGGTGCACACCTGTAGTACCAGCAATATGGGAAACTAAGGCAGGATGATGGAAAGTTTGAATGCACTTTAGGCAACTTAGCAGCTTATTAAAAGTCTGTCTCAAAATAAAAAAGGGCTGAGGATGTAGCTCAGTGAAAATTCCTGGGTTCAATCCCCAATACCATAAAAAGAGAGCAAGGATGGGGAGGAAGACAGGGATCTAAAAGGTGTGTGTATTCAGTGTGCTTTTTTAAACTCAACCCTGAAAGTGTGCCTGGAAGAAAATAATTTTATTTATACAATCTGATTCTTTTCTGCTTATTAAAAATTGCTTATTTTGAAGTTCAATAGAAAATATACTGCCACTGATGTCTTTCTCCTGTAACCATACCCAAGTGTCTCCTTTCCTCTCGGACCTTCTCAGGGCCCTCCTGGTCCCCCCGGCCCCCCTGGGCCTCCTGGTGCAAGTGGTGGTGGTTATGACTTCGGCTTCGACGGAGACTTTTACAGGGCTGACCAGCCCCGTTCACCACCTTCTCTCAGACCAAAGGATTATGAAGTTGATGCCACTCTGAAGTCTCTCAACAACCAGATTGAGACCCTTCTTACTCCTGAAGGCTCTAGGAAGAACCCCGCACGCACCTGCCGTGACCTGAGACTCAGCCACCCAGAGTGGAGCAGTGGTAGGTCAAAGCAGCCAGACCAGAGTGTCTCAGAACTGGTTCCCATTGACACTTAGGGCAGAAGTCGCATTACATGAAAGTAACAAAGCATCATCTTCTTCTCCTAACCAGCACCCATCCTCAAGCTGCTCTTCATATACCATCTTTGCTCTTTTCATAGCAATAAACACCTTAAATCGATTTTGAATAGAAAAGAGCAGAGAAGAAACTGTCTAATCTTAAAAATAACCACCTTCTTCCCGCTAAATTGGAACAGATGATATAACAGTGTAATCAAAAGTGTTTCTTTAGAGAATCAATGTCTTACACTACTTATTATTAGAATGTATGTTATGATCAGTGAGAAGTTATATGATCTGGATCTTGTTTTCTGGAAAAGGTTACTACTGGATTGACCCTAACCAAGGATGCACTATGGACGCTATCAAAGTATACTGTGATTTCTCTACTGGCGAGACCTGCATCCGGGCCCAGCCTGAAAGCATCACACCCAAGACCTGGTACAGAAACTCCAAGACCAAGAAACACGTTTGGTTAGGAGAAACCATCAATGGTGGCAGCCAGGTGAGAATCCCACAGTCATTCCTGTCTTTACTGCATGTTATTCCTTTAGGATTGTTGGCTTTTTAGTTAGTTGTGTATTAATCCCTTACCAAAATGGATTTATTAAAAAAGTAGAACCTGCTCTTTTTTCCTATTCCAAGTCCATCCTACATTGCACACTAAAAGATGGATTGATTTGACATAGCCACATAATTCAAAGTTATTATTCAAATTGGATTTAATTGATACTTATGGATAAAACAGGCCAACATCACAGAGGGTGAAAGTTTACTGGCCATTAGACAGCTCTGCTGCACGCATGCATGTTTGCAAACACCGAGCAGCTTCTCTGAATTTTTAATCAAACCCGTTCATCAACTTTACTGACTATATATTAGAATGCAGTACGAGATGCCCCAGTGGCACAATCAGTTTACACGTGGTACTTATAGAATGCAACACATTACAGAATTACAGAAAAAGACCAAGGCTTGGGTCTCTACCACAGTGCCTTATTATTCTAACAAATTGCATTAACACTTAACTGACACAGGTGTTGTTTTCAGATGGGCTTGCCGCAGATCATAGATCACATGACCTTGGGGGCTTCAGACACAAGGGAACCGAGTTTCCTTTCAAAGTGCCCTCTGTCATGGCTCGACTACGAGATCATTATTTTAATCCTTCTTATCAGGCTGTTCAGATGCTTAGCAGTCCAGTCCGTCTCCTCGTAACTGGAACCCCCATATTATTCGCTCCACAGTTCGAATACAACACCGAAGGGGTCACTTCCAAGGAGATGGCCACTCAGCTTGCCTTCATGCGCCTGTTGGCCAACCGTGCATCCCAGAACATCACCTACCACTGCAGGAACAGCATCGCCTACCTGGATGGGGAGACAGGCAGCCTGAGCAAGGCTGTCATCCTGCAAGGCTCCAATGATGTCGAGCTGGTCCCTGAGGGCAACAGCAGGTTCACTTACACTGTTCTCGTGGATGGCTGCTCTGTAAGTAATGGTGAACTAGAGGAGCAACATTTGCTGGGGGAAGCAGGGCAGGGAAAACTCTATTTTAGACCATTAAATAAACAGATGAAAAAGAGATTTAACTTACTGATCCTTTTGCATAAATGTGTTTATTCAAGTTCAGGTGGTAAATCCAGAGTTCTTATCAGATATTGCCTCCTGAAGTACTCTGAAATACCTAAATGACTTCTATGTCCATGCATTAGATTGTTTTTGCTTTAGTATGAGTTTCTAAAACAGTAATGTGTGCCCCAGAACTTAAACTTCCTTGAGTTTAAAGGACTTAAGATACAAAGTACAGCAGTAATTTGTGTTACTGTTTATTATGGCATATATTCATCTTCTTGTATCATTTTCCTTGCAAATGAAAAACATATAACTTAATATCTATAATAAGCTGTAAATATGGAATTCTAAAATTCACACCCAGCAAAAATGCATGTCTGCCCAAATCCCTCTTCACACACAGACACACAGGCACACACACACACATGCACACGCACGCACACACATGCACACACACACATGCACACACACACGCTCCAATCCTGAAAGTAATGTAGAAATAAGCCACTTGGAATATCTGCTGAATTGCATTTTGCAGAGGGTAAGCAGGGAACCATTACTCTGAAGGCCCCTGGTGGGTCGTGCCTGAAGCTAATGTGTTGATCACAAGCGGAAAAGTGGTTCTTATGAAATCTAAGTTTCAGACATTCATCAGAGGCAGAAATACCGCTGCTTTATGTGTCTTTTCCCTTCTTTTTTTAAAAACAGAAAAAGACAAATGAATGGGAGAAGACAATCATTGAATACAAAACAAACAAGCCATCTCGCCTGCCTTTCCTGGACATTGCACCTTTGGACATCGGTGATGCTGACCAAGAAATCCGTTTAGAGGTTGGCCCAGTCTGTTTCAAATGAATGAACTCAAACCTAAATTAAAAACCAAAAAAAGAAACCTGAACAAACTCTCTCTCTCTCTCTGCCATTTCTTCTTCTTCTTCTTCTTTTGTAACTGAAAGCTGAATCCTTCTGCTTCTTCTGAACAATCTACTTGCTAAAATTGTGAGCAAAAGAGAAGGCTCAATCGGAGCATTGTGCAATACAATTCAATTAACGCCCTCCCTACAACCCCTCCCCAAAAGATTTGCAAAGTTTTTTCAACACTCTTACACCTGTTGTGGAAAATGTCAACCTTTGTTAGAAAACCAAAATAAAAATTGAAAAATAAAATAAAAACCATGAACATTCACACCACTTGTGGCTTCTGAATATCTTCCATAGAGGGAAGTTTAAAACCCGAACTTCCAAAGGTTTAAACTACCTCAAAAGACTTTCCTGTGAGTGTAATCCTCATCAGGTGCTGACCTAGACAAACGTGAACTGAGGTACTTGTTTTGTTCATAAGACAAAGGTGCTAATTAGCAGTATTTCAGATACTTGAAGAATGTTGATGGTGCTGGAAGAATTTGAGAAGAAATACTGTCCTGTGTTGAGTTGTATTGCGTGGTTTTAAAATCTGGCTTAACATCCACTGTTTGCCATCTTGTCCCCAACTAAAGATACGCAGATCATTTGCCCAAAATTGTTCTCTTCTTTAGATTCAGCATTTCCTCTCTGCCAGTCTAATTTTCATTCTCTCCCTCGGTCCCAAAGAAGCCTTGTTTCTTGAACAAGCAGAAAAATTAAATTGTACCTATTTTGTATATGTGAGATGTTTAAATAAATTGTGAACAAATGAAATAAAGCATGTTTGGTTTTCCAAAAGAAAATATTGAGTAAAAGTCCTTGCTTCAGTGCTCTGACAATGTAAATGTGCATCTCCACCAGCCATTCGGCCAAGGGTCCACCAGCAGACACAATTATGCAAACAGGGTGTTCTGCTAGAATGAATAGAGCAGAGAAGAAGGGCACAGGAGATCTGAACTTCACTTCTGGCCCTGGTCCTTATGGCTGAGTGATCTTGAGCCTGGGAATCCTGTGTTGCAGTTTACAGATCTATAATATGGGCGAGAGTTTTTCTCTGCATGATTAAACATTTGCCCTATTCACAAAGGATAACACAGGAACAACGTGGCCTTGTTGACCTAGGATTGTGATGAGCGAAGATTCACAGAGACTTTTTGGGTTGTTATCCCAAAAGCACTTAGGAACTGTGGCTGAAAGTTGGTCCATGCACAATTAATATTATTAACTAAAACAGTTTCAAATATTCAGTAAAAATGCCATACACTTAAATGTGATGCAATTGAGTACAATGCCTGTTAAGAGGTAATGTGTGTGCTGTCAATCAGTGCCGACAGTTGTGGATAATAGTACCACGAACATCTACCTGCCAAATCAAGTTCATTTTCCTCCCCTGCACCCTTCAGTGACATCTTTAATACGCTTAAATGTAGTAATGTGTCAAGTAAAATGTTAAGATTCATTTGGAACTTATTTCCTGTTGCTGAACATAATTGTGACTGTAATATTTTTCTCCTGTTATAAGTCATCTCGAGATTCAATTAGTATTAAAAGCAAATGACGGAGCATGATGAGACTCAAATGTCGGCTCTAAAAAGTTAGTTAGGTCGACTAATCAAAGAGCAACTTCAAATTATGGTCTTCCTACCACCAGAATCAGAACACAGGAATTCTTACTTAAAATACAGACTCATGGTCTTTGTCCATCAAATTCAGATCGTCAACAGCCATCATCCATAAACACTTGGTGAAAGTTTGATGCACGCCAATTGGGATACCACTGGATAAGATTACTTCCGCAGTCCTTGCATGTCTTTAACGTACTGTGTCTGACTTGAGTCAGTCGATGCACCTAATCAAGTAATATAAAGAAAGCCAAATCTCTGAAATCTGTATGCTAGAATTCCCTCCAAATAAGTAATTGAAATAGGGCAAATTTATAAGACAAAACAACTAGGACTCTCTAAATTTAATATATACTATAGTCTCAAGCTGATAGTACAAGAAAGCATCATTTAGGAAATAACTACTCTATATGGCCCAATCTCTCACTAGAACAATAACAGACCCCTGTCAAGCTAAGTGTAAGTACTTAGAAACACAATGGTATATCTACTATACAACAACAGGAAAACATATTGTGGAATATCTAATAGAAATCAATAAATAGTGAAATCAGTTATTGGTATTCCAGTAACATGATGACATAATTGAACCAAACAAAAACTGCTTAGGATGGAATATCCAGTTTTTAAAATGAATATTCAAATACAGTCATTAGAAATATATTAAGCATGCATTTAAAAAATGTTAAGGGTGGACATTCTCACGTACTATTGTTAGGCAAGAGTTTTAGGCCTAAATTTTCCAAACTTTCTATAGTGTACATTTACTACTTGTGTCATTTACAAAAAAAAAAAAAAAAAACCTTCAAAATATTATGAAAAGAAATGAGTCATCAACCATCAACAAGGGATAGGATAGCAATCCCTGTGGAAGAGTGGCCCTCTCCAGAGAACGCGTGCCCAGCTTCCCACCCACCTATTTCCTAAAGAAGAAGGCAAAGCTCACGGTTGCTCTCGCCGTGTGCCAGCTGCCCTGGGGAGACACGGGGCAGAGGGTATAAAGCTGGGCCCGGCAGCAGCAGCAGGGTTCTCACAGTTCAGCTACCAAAAACAGAATAAACTAATGTGTGAATAGAATTTTAAACAAACACTCTCCAAGGACAGCAGAGGACACTATTAATTAATTAATGGGACTCTCAGGAAATTAACCTTAGTTTCAGGCCGCAGAAGGATATTTGGACAGAACTTGCCTCTTTCCCTAGAGATCTCATTTCACCTCTCCAGTCCTCTGTCTGGCTAACTGCTTCTGCTCCAGAAGCCGTACAGGAGAAAGGTCTGGTATTCACAAAGCCAAGAGGGCCTCTGTGACCATTCCCAGGGCCTGAGGGCAGAAAAATGGACAGAAAGCAAGGTCCTGAAGACTTGACCGGGGCTGGGGAGATGGCTCAGTGGAATAAACACTTTCCTGGAAAGCGCAAGGGCCTGAGTTCAATCCCCCATTCAGCTAAAAAAAAAAAAGAAAGAAAGAAAGAGAAAAAAGACTTGACCTTTCTGACTCGTGGTGCCAGACACCAGAGAACCGAGTGTCTCCAAGATGGCCCCGTGGGGAAGGAGGCATCTGGACCCGCAGCAGCAGTGCCCAAGAGAGGGTAACCTTGTCAGCCATAGACTGATACCTCGTGCACGAGATCTACAATGGCGAGAATGCCCAGGACCCGTTTGAGTATGAGCTGGAGCAGGCACTGGGAGCACAATACAAGTACACTGTCATTGAGCCCACCCGAACTAGTGATGAGACAGCGCACTGGATCACTGTGGGCAACTGCCTGCATAAGACGGCTGTGCTGGCTGGCACCGCCTGCCTCTTCACCCCATTGGCACTTCCCTTAGATTATTCCCACTACTTCTCCCTGCCTGCTGGTGTGTTGAGCTTGGCCTGCTGCACCCTCTGTGGGATCTCCTGGCAGTCTGACCCTTGCTGCAAGTACCAAGTGGGGTATGCTGCCTGTAAACTGTCTCGACTGCCTCTGCACACACTCACCTCCTCTACCCCGTGGTGCTGGTCCGGAAGGACGGCCTGCACAGAAAGAGACTGCACAACACGATAGCGCTGGCTGCCTTGGTGTACTGTGTAGAGAGGATTTACGAACTCTATGCTGTATGACTCCAGAGAACAGGGAGAGGATCAGAAACACAGCCCGCAAGAGACAAGAGGACCCAAAGGATTTGGAGTGCCTCAGTAACACTTTTGCTCTGTGAGGCAGTGGAGCCTGGGAAGCTGTTTGGTTTAATATTTGTTTTTGTTTTTTTTTTTTTTTTTTTTTGTTTAAAAAAAAAAAAGAACACAGATTATGGGTGTACAAAGGGGTTTTTTTTTCAGCTTATTACAAAAAATGTGATTTCCATAACCCCGGAAGGGGTCTGAGGCTATGGAAGTCAACTAGGCAGTGGATTGTGGATAGAAGCCAACGCTGCTGAGGGGGTATGAACGTGCTTGGGGGCCTTTAAGTAATATTGTTTAACTGTCCCATTCAGAGCCAACCAGAAGCTATGAACCATTAAAATTATGAGTATTTCAAAAAAAAGAAAAAAAAAGACTTGACCTTTCCATGATCAGCCCCCTGTGAGGCAATCTCCAGGCCTAAGAGCCAGTGCTCATGACATTCCCAACCCTCTGCTACCCAGTGAAGGCCAGCCACCTCCAACTCTCATGAACATGGGAAGGAAGAGGAACACAAGAGAGGGAAGAAGTAGACAGTCAAAGTCTGGTGAGAGGATATCAATCAAGTCCGACAAAAAGGGTCATCTAAAATTCTAAAATCAATACAGGTAATGCACTGGCAAAGAGCAGAGACACCTGGATGGTACTGAGCACATTTATTATCATTAATGCCAAAGGACTTCTTAAAGCTATTTCACCTAATATCACTGAAAAGGAAGTTCAGAAATTGGATTATAGATAAGAAAAGTTGAAGATGTCATTCCAGGTCAAAACAAAAATCTATCTAGATGAGTATTCTGCTTTTGACAGTGATATCAGGGGAAATTTGGGAGAAAGAATAGTTGTTACTTCTAGTGCAGCTAGCCTCAGAACTCCTGTTTAACAACCCATTGTAAATCTTCTTTATACACAGATGTATTTAGACCCTTCTGGGGCCCTCTATCTGTTTTGAAATATAATAGTATTACAGTAGCAGCAGGAGAGAGCTAAGGTTGAAGGGCTAGTGCAAGTTCCTGCCCTTCAGATCATGTAGCTAAAAGTATGTTTCCTAGCTCTGTGTCTAGAGCACCCAGAGGTTTAGCAACTCTGCATCCTCAGAGAATGCCTGGAACTGCAGCCCTGGGGCCACAACAGCCCAGGAGCACTGAGTCATCCCTGCAGGTCAATGAAAGGGGCATAGACTTTGTGGTTTGCAGCACGAGCTCCACCATTAACCAACTGGGCAAGGGCCTCCCACATTATACAAGGATCAGACTAACATACCTGATCTTATTGATTCCGTTAGCATACCCACTCCAGCTAGCTCCCAGAAGGGGGTAGGGGACTGTGCCTGAGAGCACACTGCCAAGCACACCCGACTTCATAGCATTAGGACCCAATTGTGGGGTCACTGGCAGTAGACTCTTGATTGAGTTTCCTATCAATGGCCCTGAAATTAAGAGAGAAGACTCTAGAATTTGATTAGTATGATTCTTTAAATTGATAATCCATCAATTTTAA